TATATATATATATATATATATATACGAAATTATATTCGAACGTTTGCTACTAAAATGTTGAATGATAAAAATATACGTGTTCAACAAAAATCTGAAAATAAAATACAAATATTACATTGATATTGATTTTTTATCTATTTTATAATTGATCCATCTTTAGTTCTAATAATTTTTATGATATGATTTTGTTAATTATATATGTTTGTAAATTATTTCATATTTTGTTATCACAAGGAATAATCTTTCGTTATCACAAGGAATTTGTTATTTATTAATTTATTATTTAATTTATCATTACTTCTATTTATTTCAGACTATAAGTTCTCAATAGAATTAATGTCTAAGCTTTATGATAAATAGAAATATAAAATATATTTCACAGTAATTATATTATTCAAAATTTAAGTCTAACAATATATTTTTATTATTTAATATTCTATAATAAACTTGAATATTTTTCTGTATATATTTTTGTCTTATTTATATAATATTTAGTAATAAGTTAATAAATAAAATAAAATTTTCAAATTTCATTATTCAAAAAAATTGCATTTAATTTTCTAACGAACCACTTAAAATTAAAATTTTTATTCTATTTTTCATATATAAAATTTTTATATCATTTATCAAAATAATATAAAATACTTCTTAACTTTCAAATTTTTTTTAAATTCACTTTTAAATTCTTTACCTAAATTTATAATTCTAAATTAAGAATACCATACGCAATATTTTATTTTAATGTTGATTTTAGATAATTTAATTTAAAAAACTTTACACGAACTTCTATAATTATATTAACACGTAAAAAAATATCTTCAATATCAAATATTAGTTTTGTACATTAAAGGCTAACAAAAATGAAGGTAAAAGGTAAAGCCGAAAATGTTAATTACTACATATTAATGCAATTATGAAAAGTTAATTATTTGCCATATTTTTATTCATTTTCGTTAAATATAGAATTATTTTATAATAGCATAATTCTAATAAATTCAATCTAGAAAAAATAATAATAATTAATTATCATCATTTAATAAACAAAAATTTATTAATATAAAAAAAATATGAATAAATCATATATTATAATTTGTTTTGAATTTTCATCATATATAGAAATATATTTTTAGAATAAATATTAATTATAAGAAGTATTTATGAAAAAAAAAGTATAAATAAAAAGACTTTGAAACAATTTTAAATATATTAGTTTCGAATGCGAAAATACATTGTTAAATTTACTGTAAATATAACAATGTATATATATTTCTATATTAGTGAATAATTAAATATAAATATAGGGATAAATAAAAAGATGCAACGAAAGATTTAGAAATAGAGAATTAAATAAATGTACATCTAACTATTGTATTATATATTGAAAATATTCAAAATTTTTCATAATCGATATTCATCAACACTTCTTTTCAAACAATTGAATCGGCAGGTAAAATTAAGATTATTTTGTAATAGTAGTAAGAATATTTTGTAAAGAAAAATTCAACTATTCGTTTCAATTATAACTATATACGTGCAATATTAAAT